CCCCCCCCCCCCACAATCTGGCAATCAGTTTGTTCTCTGTATTTATGAGTTTGTTTTGTTAGCTTGCTTGCTTTCTAGATTCCACATATAAGTGGAATCATACGGTACTTGTCTTTCTCTGTGTGACATATTTCACTGAGCATGAAACCTTCCAGGTCGACCCATGCTGTTGCAGATGGTAAGGTCCCATCCTTTACTATGGCCTAATGGATTCCTGATTTCAGTGGTTTGCTTTCAAACACTGGCCTCCTGCAGAAGGCATGCACCTGCCGACCGGACTGCCAACAGGCTTGGCTGTGGGAGTCGCTGGGGACGGGACAGTGAGGCTGAGCACTAAGTGGGCCTGAGCAGGCCCCAGGCTCAGAGTCCTCCTTGGTCTTCTTTCCCTCTGCCACCAGAGCACCAGCCCAAGGAGGGGGCTGCTGCCACAGCTTGGATTCTGGAGTAAAACCATGGAGCCACAGCTGGCCTGTGGCCACGGCCACGGCCACTGCCCTGCAATGTGAGCTGCACACACTTCTGTGGTTTAAGGACTGTGGTTATTCCCTCAACTTTTTATTTTGAAAAATTTCAGAATTTTTTTTTTTTAATAAGAGAACATTTATTTGGAAAATCACAGAAGTAGGAGAACTAATGCGTAGAAGAATTGGGATTAGGAAACAAGTTACCGAGGTAAAGGAAGGGCCCTTGGAGCTGAGAAGTGAGCAAGGTCAGGGGGCCGGCGGGAGGGGATGGACAGAGGGAAGGGGAGGGAAAGGCCCCGGGCTTCCAGGGGGGAACTCACCAGGTCCTCTGCCCTAAGGGCTTCAGGGTGGAGATTTTACTCCCCTAGCAGCTTCACGCACACAATACGGCATTGCTAACGCTGTCAGCATGTTATTCACGCATCCATCCCTTGGGCTTCATCGCATCCCTGGAGGTCCAGCCCAGGACCCTCTCGCCCAGCCCGGGGGTCGCAGCCTCGGTTCCTTAGCCGGTGCTTCCCCCTGGCGGCGGCGCGCTCGCACTGCAGCTCGGAGAGGAGCGGGAAGGCCCAGGGCAGAGCCCGAAAGCCGGGCGCCCGGAGAGAAGCCGCCGAGCTCGACGCCGCGGGGGGCATTTCCACGCCGCGCCCAGGGGACGCCTCCTTCGGGAGCCGGAGCTCCGGCACCACAAAGGCCGTGGCTGCCCCGCGGCTTCCTGCGAGGGCGCTCGCTCCCGCACTCGCGCACCACGCCCCCGCTGAGCGAGCGAGGGCCAGGCGGCTCAATGAATGGAGGCCCGACCTGCAAGCTCCCCTGCAGGACGAGCGCTGAGCCACGAGCGAGCTGTCCTGGCGTGGCCGGCCGGGACGACCCCGAGGCAAGAGCAAAGGGAACGTATCTTCCCCCAGTTTTTCTCCCCAGGAGTATTCTTGGCGGGAAGCTAGGGCTTCGCCCAGTCGGCCGGGCTCGAACCCGCGGACGGCGGAGGGTGAGGATGCACGCCCGGCGCGGAGGCTCCAAGAGGGACGCCGGCTCGAGGTGGGGATCCCGGCTCCCTGGGCGTCAGCACCCCCGGGCTCCAGGCGCCGGACC